ATTATTCCAAGGTTGCTAACTCTTTCTTTCTTGAACTGTACTGATGCTTCTCAGTATTTTCCAAATTATCTAATCTCTTCCACCTTCATAAACTCAAATAGTCAGCAGCCTAATCTCATCTGCTACCTTTATGGGTATGAAAATAACATTTTGCAAGTAGAGACTATATGGCAATTAGTAATTCATTTAATTCTAACAACAATGTTATGAAAAATATCCTAATATTATTTCCATTTTATGAATTTAAAGGCTGAGTCCTGATTGAAGCTAAGTAATTTCGTAAATGTCCCAGAGCTAGTCAGTAGTATGGCTAGCATTTGAAACCAGACTGGTGCCAAAAATAAATGTGCTTAGTCAAAACATCATTCTCTGTTTCAAGAAAAGTTCTTTTATACCCTTCCTAGTTACTTTCTCTACTTTTAATACACATTCAGTTATTTAGTGAAGAGTAACTCTGTATCTTATTCTCCCTTTTGTCCTCCCCTGAACCAGAGTAGTTTTTGCAAGGTTGAAATTCACTGCTCTGACCATCAGAGCCCAACATTTGTTTTCGTATTTTCAGTTTACCAAGAATCCCAGGTTTGCAGCATATCTGTGTAGCAATTTGCATATAGTAGCACAAAATTCTGTAAAAACAATTCAGTGCAAAACTCTCAGCCATCCTTCCACCTCTACTTTGTTGTCCCTTTCTAGTACTCTCAGTGATCCCCTATTTTGCAACACTACTGCCCATAACCATGGGCACCCCCAGAGCCATAGGAAAGTCTCATCTGCTGGAGTTTAGGGGACATGAAATGAAGGAAGTCTTCACAGATGCATTAACATTTCTGTTGCTGGGACGCAATACTCAACACCCACAAATTAAAGGAGGAGAGGTTTAATTCAGCTCACAGTTTCAGGGAATTCAGTACATGGTCAGCAGGCTCCAAGGCAGAAACTTCATAGTGGAAGGGCATGGTGGTACAAAGCTGCTTAGTTCGTGGCCACCAAGAAGCACAGCAGGGGAACAGTGCCTGAGAGGAAGGGGCAAGGACCAGATATAGCACCTAAGGTATGCCACCCAACACACCCGGAAGTGTGCCCCACCAATCCCATGGGTGGTTCCCAAGTCAATTAATTGGACAGAATCAAGTTTACCCATCACAACAGACGAGACTCTACCCTCATGGAACAAACAAACATTGTAAATAAGAAAAGTATATGTAAACACATGAGCCACAGAATGTCTAGGATCAGAAAGTTTAGGGTTGTAATCCCCGGTCTGCTATGCTAGCTATGTTATGTTGGTCAATTTAGTTAACTTCGTTGAACTTCAGTTTAGGATCACAAGTTTGAGTCCAGTCTGGGCAGCTTAGTGACTTAGTCTGACCCTGTCTCAAAATAAATAAATAAGGCTGAAAATGTAGCTCAGTGTGAAGGCCCTGGGTTTAATCCCCAGTGCTACAAAATAATAAATAAATACATGCAGAAAATTGAATTAATAGTGTGTGCCTCTCTGGGTGTGCTGGTTAGGATGTAGTGTAAATTTCACTGCCTTTGGGATCCACCCAGAGGATTGATGGAACATCTTTCTGGGTATGTGTGCATTGGTAATGGAGGCGTGGCCCTGGGTATATGTCTGGTACCTCGTTCCTTACTCTCTGACAGTTTCCCTGATCTCCATACCAGGCACCAAGAACTAAGAAGCTTTACTCTGCTATGCTCTTCTGCCATGATGTTTCTGCCTTAGAATAAGCATATCGTGTACTGAATCCCCAGCAACCATGAGCCATATTAAACCTCTCCTCCTTTAAATTGGATGTCAGGTATTGTGTCTCAGCAACAGAAAGCTGACTAATACACTAGAGGTTTTGAGGATTCAATTAAATAATATAAAACATCTCTTAATGAAGAAAATGAATCGCCAGTACAGCAGTAAATGGGAGTTATGTTTTGCAAACTATAGTAGTTAACTTTGCTAGTGTTCTTGAATTTGGGAGAAAGCTTTGGAAAAGTAAATTGAAACCAGACCAAAGTAGGTATTTAAAGATAAGGAGAATTTGGGACTTAATGGAGAATAGAGTGATTAAAGTCAAAGTTTTAGAGAATAGTCAGAGCTAGGCAATTTACTTAGAATTAGTTATTTGGAATTACTTTGCAACTCATTAATGTTTCATTTATTGTCTGGCACTCCAGTTACACTACCAGTTTCATGAGGGTATTTATCCTATTATGTTCACCAGTCTATATCCAGTGTCTTACACAATGCTTGGCACATGGTAAGTGTTTAATAAATATTTGTCGAATCTTTAGCATTCAGGAAAATGCAAATCAAAACTCCACTGAGATGCCATCTCACCCCTGTCACAGTGGATATCATCAAGAATGCAAAAAACAATAAATGCTAGTGAAGGTGCACTGGGAAAAAAAAACCTTCTATGCTGGGAATGTATATTAGTACAGCCACTATGAAAACCAGAATGGAGGTTCCCCAAATATCTATAAATAAAAACCCTGGTGTGGTGGTCATCGCCAATAATCGCAGCACTCTGAGAGGTTGAGACAGGAGGATTACAAATTCAAACCCAGCCTGGACAACTTGGTGACTTAGAAAGACTCTATCTCAAAAAAAAAAAAAAACTTAAAGGCTAAGTATATAGCTCACTGAAAAGACGCTGGTTCAATCACCGGCACCACAAAAATAAAATAAATAAAGTAATACAACTGTCATATGATCCAGCTATGCTACTCCTTAGTAAATATCCAAAGGAACTAAAAATCAACCTACTATAAAGATACCGCCATACTCATGTTTATTTCAGTGCAATTGACAAGATTCAAGATCTGAGACCAGCCTAGGTGCCCATTAGCAGATGATCAGATAAAGAAAATGTATTACATATACACCATGAAAGAACAAAATTATCTAATTTCAGGAAAAATGGATGGAACTGACAATCATCACATTAATCAAAATAAGCCAGACCCTGAAAGACAAGTATTACATGTTTTCCCTAGTATGTGGAACCTAAATAAACATGATGACATGAAACTAGGAGGGAGGGACCGGGGATTTAGCTCAATGTTTCTGGCGCCTGCCTCACAAGTGCCAGGTCCCAAGTTCGATTGTCGGTACCAAAAAAAAAAAAAAATACTAGGAGGGAGAATATTAATAAAGGAAAGGGAATAAGTAGGAGAGGCAGGGGAAGGGAAAATAATAGGGGGAATGAATATGATCAAAGTATGTTATAGGCATGTAAGAAAATGCCACAATGAAGCCCAATATTTTACAAAATTAATATACACTGACACAAAACACATATTGAAAATAAATATTTGTTGAAGGAATAAACGGTGGGGAAGGGAAGAGGGGGACAAAAGAAGATTTCAAGAATTCAAACATAGATGACATTGAATGCAAAAGGTTAGAAGTGCACAGGAAAGCCAGGCGTGGTGGCTCACTGTAATTCCAGCTCTCTGGAGGATGAGGCAGGAAGATCGCCTTGAGTTCGAAGCCAGCCTGGGCTACATAGTGAGTTCAAGCCAGCATGAACTGCACAGTGAGACCCTGTCTCAAAAAAAAAAAGAGAAGTGCACAGGAAATAATGATTTTAAATTATAGACTTAATAGTTTGAGAAACCTGTAGTGTATTTTAGAGTTCATGTTTGGTAAAATTTGTTTGTGTAATTGTAGCTCAGATAAGAGGTTGGGGCTGGAAATGGGTCACTACTGTGACCCATATGAATAGCAACTGAGATCAGGTGGAAGGGTTATGCTCCGCCCCAGAAGTGACATCAGGCACAGTACAGCAGAAGCGGAAAGAGGATAGTGCTGAGAAGCCGTTACTCTCAGAGCGAAGCTACACTGAGCGAGCCAAAGAAAGAATAAGAAATATGAGTAGGTTTAGAAGAGATTTGGTTTCAGGGAGACAGAGAAAGATAACATAGAAGGAACGAGTATTATTACAATGAGGATCCATGGGCCAGCTACACACAGTAAGAATACAAACAAACTATAGATATCTGATTTGACAGCCTGAAAGTCCCTGGTGGATTTGAGATAAAAGATTTTGAGGAATGGTGAGGGGAGCGAAGCCATTAGTTTGTGACAACACCTATGCAGGTTAATCCCATCTTAGGTGTAATACAATGATGATAAAATAATAGAATTTACCTCATAACTAGCTGTGAAATGCTGGTGATCGGTACTTTAATTTTTGTGGTGTGTCAGACACATTTAATATTCTCAAAAGTGGGGGAACTGGATGAGGCTTTTCGGTTGAATATGGACATGTAAAATCAAAGTTAATAATTTGTGATGCCACTGAGATGGCAGTGGGGGAAAAGATCTTCAAGAACGTTCCAGAACTCTAAACCGTCCTGTGAAGTAGGAGTGTGCGCCTTTCCTCAAGCTCCACCCACTCCCTTTTCCTATAGGGTACAGGTCTACAAGTCTCTTACTTTTCTCATTGGTCTTCTGCAACGTTTGGCCCCGCCCCCGGGGTAAAGACATTGTCCTAATAAGACCTTTTGGTTTTAGTTTGGCTAGGACGCCTGTTGGCAAACTGACGTGTTTTCTTTAGAGTATCCGATTTAAAAAGCATTTTTTTTTTTTCTTTTAAACTAATATTCAGCAAGTAAATACGGTGGATTGGCGGGATCAGTCGGAACTGAAAGGCAGTCTGACTAAAGGTTGGAACATCGGAGGGCTTTTAACAACGGACCGAACTACTTCCGGGAGAGAATGGGAGGGTTGAATATTCTGTGAGTTTGGCGGGTTTCGCTTTCTTCATAAATATTTGATCATTCAGCAGCCAAAGTGACGGGACCTGGGAGGACGTAGTGACGCCGCCACTGCCGGAAAAGACTACTTCGGGCACCCCGATGACAATGTCTGTGGTGAGTATCCAGGAAGACGCATTGCGCCGGGCCACGGGTTCGGGCTACGGAGGGGAGGGGCGCCCGGCAGCTGTGGTCACGTGGGCAAACAGCGAATCAGGGCTTGGCCCACTGGCCTCTGGGGCGGGGCCCGCTTTGCTGCCTTCCCCCAACTGCTGTGCAATTGCGCTCTTTGCAGAAAGAGCTAAGCGCTAAATAGGAAGCTTGGATGTTGGGGTTTGTTCTTTATGGGTTACAGTCTCATTCCTTTTATTATCTCCGGACCTAAAAATCACTTTTGATCCCCTGAGAAAGAAATGAATCTGGCGACTCATTGTTTTGAAGTGACATAATAGGCCGAGCCTCGTAAATAGCTGGAGAATCATGTACTTAATCCTCAGTCCTGAGTGAACTTCATCAGCATTTCTTAGGTTTCACAATTCTTTAACGAACAGAGGTGAATGTTTATGTAATGTAGGAAAGTTTCTTGTGTGGAGCTGCGTAGTTTGTCAAGTAGTCGTAGAACTTCATTTTTAACCAGTTTTTGGTTTTTTTCATTCAATTTTTGAGGTTGGTCATAACCTCTCTTGAAAAGAAATCAACTCTTTCGTAGTTTATTCGGTGTCAATTCCTCCTCCTCCTTCTTAAGGTTGAGGTTGCATCATTTTAAGGTGAGTATTTTGTAAAATGTTGAAAGCTGGGGGCCGAGGATATAACTCAGTGGCGCCCACGCTCGCCTTGCAAGCACAAGGATCTGATCGCCTTGCAAGCACAAGGATCTGAGTTCGGTCCCGGGTACCAGGAAAAAAAAAATGTTGAAAGTCTTCCTTTGCTTAGTTGTCAAGCAAAGATTATAAATTTATGTGAAGGTGAAAAAGGAAATCAAATAGACTAATAAGAGATGATTGTGTCCTAAAGACATGGACCTAAATAAAAATACTGGACATTTTTAAAAAATGAGAACATTTGAGCCCTGATTTTTAAAATGTCCAAACTTGCCTGAAAAAATGTGGGCTGTGTGTAGCGCAACAATAATCGTGCAAGTAAATCATCAGCTCCTGTTGGTAGTTTTGTGTTTGTGAAGGATTGGAGGGATGATAAACTACCTTTCTGAAACTTTTTTTGTAGGATTTTAAAACTTATGTAGACCAGGCATGTAAAGCTGCTGAGGAATTTGTCAATATTTATTATGAGACAATGGACAAAAGAAGAAGGGTGAGTTCTGTAGTCTCTACTGCTCTTTATTAAATACCAGTTCTTTTTTTGTTGTTCCAGCAACCATTTATCAGACTTGCATAAATAATAAATATGAACTTGTTATTTAAAAGCCAGTTGCTTACAGAAGTATTGGTATGGTGTTGGTGGGAGTGTGGGCTCTGGAATCATGTCCTAGGTTTGCCTTTACCTAGTTCCGTTATCTTGGGTGAGTTGCTAACTTCTCTTAATCTCATTTTATTTTTAGGATGGTGAATAGAAATTCATTTAAATACTGCACTTTACATAGTGCTGAGCTTAGTTGGATGTGGTGTTATACACCTGCAATCTCAGCACACTAGGAGGCTGAGGCAGGAGGATTGCAAATTTGAGCCCAGTCTGGGTAATTTAACAACTTAGTGAGACACTGTCTCAAACTCAAAAATAAAGAAAGGGTTGGGATGTAGCTCAGTCCAAGGGCCCTGAATTCAGTTCCTAGTATCATTAAAAAAAACAGTGAGTTTTAAAAAAATTTCTTTATAAAAAAAAATTTTGCTGTGTTTTCTGAGTCAGGATCTTGCTATGTAGTTAGTTCAGGCTGGCCTTGAACTCACTATACAGTCCGGGCTGGGTTTGAACTTGCAGCAATCCTCCTGCCTCAGCTTCCAGAGTGCTGGGATTATAGGAAAAGTGATCTTTTCTTACTCCTATCATTTAATCAGTATGGTTAAAGAATGCTAAGACTAGTGGACTGGTCTTCCATTACAGGAAGGTTTCCTGATTCCTGATTTGGCCTTTTAATTTCATATATGGGCAGATAATTTCTGATTGAGGCTCACAACTAAAACTGGTACTTACAGGAAGGATCTACATAGCATAGATGCTTTTAGTCTTCAACAAACCAAATTCTAACTTTAATAGTTTTTTGTAATTCATCCCTAAACGATGTAATTATTTTAGTATGTGGTTACATGAGACTTGGGCTAGTTCTCTTATCAGAATAAGACCATTTTTTAAGAGAACTTCTACAAGTCCAAAATACCCTCTCTCTACAAACCTGTTTTATAAGTCAAAGGTAAAACATGTTTCTACTACTGATGTTTGATGACATGGGATGAGGGAAGGATTGTGCAATAGATGTTTATTGTGCCTTACTGCTTTCAAAAATAAAGTAGCAAAAAAGGTAACCATCATTACCACCATCAAGATAGGTGTTATCCTTGTAACCCAAGTTAAATTTTAGAATAAAGCAAATAATATGTCACTTGGACCTTAACTAATTTCACTTATCAGAGGCTCTTGCAAGTACTCAAGTTTTTTGACCTAAATATGTTAATACAGTAGTAGGAGAACTAAGTGTAACACATGTATGTAAACACTAGGATTAAAGTATAGTAGGGCTTAATAGGTAACTTTATTAATTCTCAGAATTGGAAAAGGGACAAAAAACTGATTTGTGGTTCCTTGGAACTTGTGATCATTTAATTCATTTGAAAAAAAAAAGCAAAACTTTAAGACTCAAGACTCTTTTTGGATGTTAAATTTTTTCATTGTGGCTAAAAGGAAATATTATACATATATTAATTGCCTAGTTTGTAAAGAGTAGGATAATACCTGTTTAAGGACAAGATTATGAGATACATACTTTGTTCACCTTGGTTTCCAGTGGCAAGGGGACAAAATAAGTAGAGATGCAGATAGAGCCATGAAAGTGTTTATATACCATCTATAATCATTTAATTCATTTTTAGAATTTGCTTCCTTAGAAAAAAATCCATTTTCTAAACTTTTCCTCTTTTTTTAGGCACTTATCAGGCTGTATCTGGATGAGGCCACTTTAGTATGGAATGGAAATGCTGTTACAGGGCTGGAAGCCCTAAATAATTTTTATGAGATGTTGCCTTCTAGTGAGTTCCAGGTTAATACATTAGATTGCCAACCAGTTCATGGTAAGATTATGATTTTTCAAAGACTTCCTTTTTCCTTTGTGAGCACTCAGCTTTTACACCAAAAGTATCTAGCAGCTTTGATTGGTAGAAGTATTTACATATGTGATCAAGTCAAGTTTCATGAAAATTTCAGCTGTCCATTCAAACTTTTGGTCTTACTTTAGATGCTTCTCTTTTCAGAGACCCACTAATAGGTTTTACTGGATTGTGATTATAGGTTAAGTTGTGTAATAAATTAAGAATAAGTTTTATTTTTGTCAAATTGAGAGTATCTCTAGAGAAAATTTATGCCACATCTTTGATTAATGTATTTTAATATCTTACAATCTATTACAGTTTCACTGTGTTACATGAAAGGATGACTTTTAGCAAGACAGCTTGATTCAGAGTAAATTGGTGCAGTTCATAATATTTACCTGTAGATGGGGTACTCAGTGTCTTTAGTTGTTTAGGGTCATTTATTTTCTTTTGTATGGTACTTGAAGAATAGCTGAAGCAAAAATATGAATAAGCTGTACTAAAGACCTAATGAAACATTAATTCAGGGAGCAGATGTTCCTATGTTAGTTATAAGCTATTTAGAGTACGCTCAAATCTTTCTGGACTAAAAATAGTTTTAATATTTTTAAAAAACCAATATTTAATTATCTGGCCTTGGATGTACATGTTTAAGGTTATAATCAAGGTAAAAAATGTTTATGAAAATTCTTTAGCATTAGATCATAAGAAATGGAGCCTGAAAATATGTTTATGTAGAGATAGAACTGACTTCTTTCTTTTTTGTGTGTGTGGTAAAGAGCAAGCTACCCAGTCCCAGACTACAGTTCTTGTGGTAACCAGTGGAACTGTGAAATTTGATGGAAATAAACAACACTACTTCAACCAGAACTTCCTGCTGACTGCTCAAGCCACTTTTAACAGCACTGTGTGGAAGATTGCAAGTGATTGCTTCCGTTTTCAAGATTGGGCTAATAGTTAAAAGGGCAAAAGTCAATTTTTTGGTCCTTTAGGTTCAGCAACAGAAGTTTATCTGAATTAATTAATTTTGTTGTAAAAGCACTATAAATTAGTATGCTAAAATTAAAATTCTTCAATATTTTCTTATTTCTGACAGCAACTTTTCTAATAACTGCCAGTTTGGATTATCGCCCTTAAGAGCTTTAATGTTAGTTTTTGACATGCCTTATATACATTCCGCTGATGACATTCTTAGAGTAATATTAAACATATGATTGCAGTACTCACTGTGAATCCAGCCTATCGCAAAAATCTTTTTGTAATACTATCTATGGGATGTCAGCACAACATAACACTCTGGGAGGAAGTAGAATTTTTTTGGTTATTAATTTTGTAGCAAACAGATGCCTATTTTCAGTTAACACTCGTAATGCAGTTTTAATATATAAGTATAGCCTTTTCAAATCAGTTCAGTTTATGTTTGCCTAAGTACTCTGACATATTGAAATTACATGTTGAAATATTCAATAGTCTTTTTTCATATTAAATTTTCTTATGTTATCATGTTTCCTTAACAAGTGAATTAGCTGCAGAGGTGGAAATTGTTTTTCTTTGATGCCTGATTCTTAAGTATGTTGGTGGCTTAAAAGCAGAACTTAAAAACATTTTCCTTGCCAGCTCCAGGTCTATATATTTTGGGAATGTATGATAGTAGAACTAATAATATCTTTAATGAGAAATGTGAAAGTCCAAAGTTAAAGACAAAAATAAGGGGGGGTGACTAAATGGTAAAATTTTGTTACTTGTTTTCTACCTTCTAAAAATGTAGCCTATTCTTAGGATTTCAATTAATAAGTCAATAACTATTATTGCTAAATGGTCATGAGCATCCCTTTTGTTCTGAGAATGTTTTTTAAGGTCTTTGAACTTCATTATTGTCATCAGTATGTATCTCAATTTATTCAAGAACTTATAGGGGTAAAATGTCAGCAATAAGCCTGGCCTGACAGGATCTAACATGGAAAGTTGGAAACAAATCCATTCCTCTATCTTTGTTACACCCTTAACTTCTAAGTCTTCCATGTGAATTTCAGTCCCAGAGACTTCTATGCATTATCCACCCCAAAATGAGCGATTTTCCCCCGTGTTTTGTACTGTCAACTATACCATTTATTATTTAAAATTAAAATTAATTTATGATTTATTCTTCCATATAACATTGGGCAAAGAGATCTGTTTTAAAACACTTTTCTGTTATGTGACTAACTCATTGTCTTTTTAAAGAGAAAACAGAGAACAACAGATCATCATAACTTCCAAAAGACCAAAATCATTTTATGTCTATACTTCTAAAGTGAAAAACCCTAGTTCTGATTTTTGGATAAACCTTATTGGTCTTTGTAATTTTCTAATGTCTTTAAGCTAGATATAGCAGCTTTGTTTATACATTACAACCAAAATTAATGTTTTCATTATATTCGTTTAGTCCTGCCCAAAACTGTACACTGTATTTCTGATATACTACCAAAATAGAATTAAATACAGAGGGTTGGAACTGATATTTAAACCACACCTTCTTATTGAACTAATCAAAACTTACATATTATAGTATTCTACTCAAAAATGAGGTTATTCTTTAGATTGATTTGTTTTTAAAACCACAGCTTTAGCAGCAACAAAAAATGCCCAAATACTGACCTTTCCATTGTAGAGAATAGTCTCAAATAGAAGCTGCATGTAACTGAACAGTTGTAAATTACTTTCTCCAAACTATAACTTTGAAATGCCTGGAACTGCTCTTGTATGGACTAGACTGTATTTTTGACATGCTCTTATTTTTATAACTTGAAAAATAAAATTTTCCTGGGACAAGTTTCCCAATAATGTTTTAAGGTGTTTTGATTTTTGCTTCTAAGACTAAAACATTTCTTTATAATGTAAAGGTTTTCATATTTTAGAAAATCGTATTTAAATGTTGAAAACAGTGGTTAAAAATGTGAACTTTTTCTTTGTTCTTTCTGTAGCCCACACTATTCTTTTTATACCAAATATTTACATTCCTGAGATCACCTGTTTGATGTACCAGTAAAATTTTTGGTGAGAAGTTGGAAAGCTTCACCTTGAGAAACTAGCCAAAGTGCTATATTCAGTAGCCAGTGAAATGAAAATATAACTGAATTTCAGAAAGAATTCCATTAACTTCAATTGTACATTTAAAAATATGTTAGTAGACACTTGGTGAACAGTGAGAAGTAATGGCCTTTACAATCAAATAGCATTTTAGTGTCTTTAAAGATGCGTGTGATTTTCACATTTAAATCTCTGAAAATGGTATGGATTTTAAATTGATGCCATATCACAATTTAATCACCTTCCCTCCTCAGTGATACATTAAAAAAATGGTGAGTATTAATAGTGGCATCTTAGATGGATGAAATACAGTAAGAAATTACCTAAGTAAAAACGGTTAGTCATCTACTTAGATAAAATTTGTAGGCAGCGATGGAGGCCAGTAGTAACACTATAATGACTCAAACTCTGTCATCATCTCATTCATATTTCATGACTAGCCCATATGTCTAGAAGAGCCATAGACTTTAAAAGTGTGTATGACAGTGTGTGTGTTTATCAGTGAATTTGAGTCAGAATATTTTCTTTGTTTTTTAAATTGCCTAATATATACAGTTTGTTCAAAAAGGTAATGCTAGTGAAGTTAAAGGATAGTGCAGTATTTGAGAAAGGATGAAAAATTAAAAGCCAAAAAGATACTGAATTCTTCTGAAATTTTACTGAATTAACTATTGCATGAAATGAGTGAGGTAGGAAATTTGATCTACTGGGGCTTCATTTACTGATATTTGTTGTAAAACTATTTAATATAGTGTGGAAAAGATATTCGTGTTTCATCCTTGCCTATGTGTACTTTAACATAAATATGTGTGCATTTAACACAACCACACATTTAAAGGGAAGTGATAGGGCACATCTGACTTTTTAGTTGTCTCTGTACAGTAAAATTATCTTCTCGGAACACTTGCTACCACACTTTTCTGTATCCTATTAATACTTGTTTTTTGCCAAATGCAGCTTTCTGCACAAAATATTTCTCAGGGGGATGTATAGGTCAATCTAGCATTCGAGAGACTAAAAGGTAGAGAACTACAAGGTATCATTGGAATAATGTCTCAAATGGAAGGCCTTAGGATATAACGAATCTAGAATTGAAGTACATCCATCCTTTAGATAGGTAGCTTTCAACATCTTTACTATGACTCACGATAATCAGTATATTTTATATTACAACCCAGTATACAGTTGCATAAGTAAACCAATAAAATATATCCAAAATAAAATTCATCCTTAGCATTTGCAATGCATTCCTAGCATTTTGGTTTACTAATTTTTTGAAAATGCTAGTCATAACCTGCTCAGCAGATCTTTACATCTTCTTAAAAGATTGTATGAGCAGTTTGAAAAACACAAAGATTGAACAAGTATATTTCCACTATCATTTTTTCTTGGGGATATAGGGTCAGCTTTCCAAAAGTAGTGCCATGTGTCAGTGACGTCACCCTAAATTACAAGTGATTCAACACTTCTTTCTCCTCACAGGCTTGTCTTATGTGTTGGGATCCATGAAAGGTATCACTTTTCCTCCCATTTCTCGATTTGCACCAGAACTTCAGAGTTAACAAAGCAAATGTTCTGATTAATCTGGGAATACAATAGTGACAATGAAAAGGAGTGAAAATAGGGAGGAGGCAACCCTGTTTCAGATGCTCATGCAGAGAATTAAGATATCCCAGCAGAACTACTTTGAACATGCTTTGATATTATACGCAGTTATTTCAATGGATTTTTAAGTCAATTTCATGTATTTTTTCCTTTCCTTCCCTCCCTCCTTGAATTCCCCAAATATTTGCATATCAACCTCTGGTTTGACAAAGGTGGTGATGGTCTCGAAGAGGCACAATCTTGCTCTTAGACCCAAAGGAGATCTGCCCCCCTCATGTGTTTTTTTTTTACTTTGGACAGTCCACTTATTCTGAGCTTCTATCTTCAGCTATGAATGGGATACTGTTTGCCCTATCTGGCCTACCAGGTGGTATGATGGTCTAATAAAAAACAAACATTAAAATACTTGCAAGTGCCACATCCTGTGCAAATGCAATGATTATATTTTTTTAACTTTGAAGCTTCCTGCCTTCCCTAAATTTTGTTTCTTTTAGGATAAATCAATTGATAAAGATGACTGTTGACAACCTTGCCACTGCCTTTACAAGACAATTATTCTATCTTTGTAAAGTCTTAGATCAATATAGAGTTGGCTATGTTGCTGTTTTAAAAAAAAGATTTAGGCCTGCTATTTTTGCCCTTAATGTCACAAAAACAGTTTAAAATGAAGTTTTTTTACTTATATACATTAACTATATTATATATTTTTATCTGACCCAGGACAATTTCTCTTCACTCACACAAAAAAAGGAGAAAGACAAGATACATGTTGGAACATCCTGATTATGGGCCTTAAAGAGAAGCAATGATAGCCATTTGCAAATATATTTTAATAGGTCTTTCTGTAATCAGAAAAAAATGGACTGTAACATTATTAATTTCAATTTTCTTGCTCAAGTGGGGGAAATCAGCAAGAGAATCCTGCAACACTTAATCAAGCCCAGATACCATGGGAGCCCTGAGCTGCCAGATGTGGCCAACATGGTCTTTTTTTCCCCTCACCCTTTGTTCCCCCCCAAACCCTAGCCTGTGATTTCTGAAAGGGCCTCTCGTAACAGTTTCTCTAATTTGTTTATCTATTTGTGGTACCCAGGATTCCCAATGGTCTGGGCCCAATCTCAGAACTAACAATTCATTGGCTTTGGATAATTTTAGGGAGAAACTGCAAGCCTGGGAATGAGAACAGAGGAGAAATTAGCTGGAAGAGGAGGTGCTGGAGGAGGTAGGGACAATATGGGAGATGCTGTTTCCAAATGGAAACAAAAGGGTGGCAGGAGAAACCAGGAAAAATAGCTTCCCCTGGACTGATAATTTATAATAACTCTGGAAGAGAAACCACAGTGGTTAAGGAAGCCCTCAGACCTGAAAATGAGAACTGAAGCTAAAGTATATATACATGTACAAATACAGTGGCAAAACTAGGACCTGGGAGGCCTACTTCCATGCCCCATTCTCCCATTCTGAGACCCAGTACTGTAAGGCTTCCCAAAGCCTCCACTATTGCACATGGAACCTATCCTCCCCTCTCCTGAATTCTTTTCTATCCCATCCCAACTTCATTGCTCTGAGAATCATTCCCTCCTGCCCAACTTTATCTTTCAAGTTAAGTTTGTTAACACATAGACTCACTATAGAGTCAATTGGCTTTTTTCTCAGGACTTGTATTAGTTAGAATTCCCATTGCTGGGCAAAATACCTAACACCCACAACTTAAAGGAGGAGAGGTTTATTTAGCTCATGGTTCCAGAGGGTTCCATCCATGATGACCTGGCTCAAAGAAACATCATGGGAGAAGGGCATGGCAGAGGAAAGCTACTTAGTTCATGGTAGCCATGATGCAGAGGGGAGGTTGAATGAGTGCCATAGAGGAAGGGGCCAGGGGCCAGATATTGTACCCAAAATCATGTATCTAGTACCCACACAGACATGCTTTACTAATTCCCTAGTTCACTCCCAAGCCAATCAAATTGACAAGCTTAGCCGTCACAGGGTCATGGCCTGTCAATGTAAGTACTTCAGGCTGACTAAGCTATTTAGCCATTTTCTGTCACTGAATATATCAATTTTTCCATCTTTTTTTTCTGTTAAAAACTGCAATATTGAATGTCTTTGTACACATATTTTTGAACTTATGTGAAGGTGTATTTAATGGATACAGTTCTAGAAGTAGAATTGTTGGGTTAAAGAATAAACATTTTTAATCTTAATTAAAATTATCCAATTTCCTCCAAATAGGCTCTACCAATTCATACTCTCAAAATATATATGAGTGCTCATTTTCACATACTCTTATTCACACTGGACATTTTTAATTTTAAAAAATTTTCCAAACTCTGGTAGAAAAACAATATTATATTTTAGTTAGTATTTCTTTACTAGAAAATGTAATAATTCTAAAACTCATGCTGCTAGTCATGACTTCCAAATATGTAACTCTAATCAATTCAAATGTCTAATATTTGAACTATAACTATATTCTAATTATAACTATAACTAAATATTCTAATTATAACTATATTAATTTAACATGTCCAAAATTAACATTCTAATTTGGAGAAATTCTTAAAAGGTAGGACTAAAATATTGATAACAATAACATTTGAGATGAAGGAAGTTAACCTGTCCAGACTGCATTGATCCTATCCTTAATCCTGCTCACCCTACACACTATCCCACCTCTGAAAATGGTAGTTGCATTCTTCTAATTGTTTAGGACAGAACCCTGGAGACATCCTCAGCACTATCCTTTCTCTCAAAGCTACATATTCAGAACACTTCTCCCTATTTTCACAAATAACCCTGGTCTAATCCATCATCACCTTTTGACTCTATTATTGTTCAAAGTTCCTATCTGATCTTCCTGACCCTATCCTGCCTAACTCTAGTCCCAATTCAACAGCAAAAGTAATCCTTTAAAATACACAAGTTAGATCATGCCATTCCTCTTCCCCGAATTCCCCCTCTACCATACCTTTGCATCTCTATTTTTGTGAAGATATAAATCCTTTCATTTGCCAGCAATCTCCTCATAATCTGACCCTTACTGCCTGATTGTCATCTTTCTCATACTCCATTCCAGTCACTTAACCTCTTTTCTGAATGTAGACTGCTCTAAGGAAAAATGTCTCCTTGTGGTCTTTGCCTCTACCCACTGTGC